ATATATGTTGAATATATATATATATATATTAATATGTATGTATCATGCATGTATTACTATGGAAAACTCTTGACCCTTTTTGTTTGAGAAAAAGCCACTCTTTAGCCAAGTTTTCAAGAGCCAAAAGGGAAGCCAAGGCCCTTGCACAATTGCAGCTGTAACTGTTTTTTTTCTTTATTAACTATTTAAAAAAAAAGAAAAGAATTTGAGTTATTCATGAATTGCTTTATTACTTTTCAGTCTTACTTTTCCTCTTTTCAGTATATCTTATTAACCTATTTATTTTGTTGTTGTTGGGGCTTTCAAGTGCTATTAATGAAGTGCTTCCTTTTATTAAACAATGAAGGTGTGCACGACACATCTATGTAAGGTGGGGGAAAAAGTTCAGAGATGAAGATTTAAAGTTCCAATTTTGGTGTTGTGCTAGATCTACAAACTAGCCAGACTTTAAAAGGCAATGGGAACTTCTTTGCTCCAGGAATAAGGTTGCATATAACCACTTGATTGAGAATTGTAATGATGTGCACTGGTGTCAAGCATTCTTTTTCGATTTCTCCAAGTGAGATGTCATTGACAACAATATGTGTGAAACTTTAATGGAGTCATAATAGAGGCAAGGTATAAATCAATCATTAGCATGTTAGAGGAGATCAGGTTGCATGTAATGAGGCGATTGTTTCAGAATAAGGAATATGGAATGAAATAAGGCCCATTTGTATGAAGACTTTTGAAAAAATGCTGAAAAGTGGATGAGGGGGAGCTACACGGTGTCTTTGCAACATACAACATATAGCTGTCGAGCTTAGGACATTAGTGGAGTTCCATGTCAGCATGCCATCAATGCTATTTATTATGAAAGGGAGGACCCTACAAAATATTTGGCAGACTCTTTTAAAAAGAGTGAATACCTCAAGGCTTATGAACAACCTCTCCATCCTATCAAAGGGTCAATATTCTAGCTTGAGTGGAATATGGAGGTTATTTTACCTCCATATGTCAAGAGATCAACTGGACGGCCTAAGAAAGAGAGGAGAAGAGAACCAATTGGAGGGCTAAAGAGGAGGGAGAAAAGAACCAATTGAAGGGCTAAAGAAGACAAGAATGTCAAGGGTCTGAAAGATAATGGGATGTGTTGTTTGCCATCAAGAAAGGCATAATAGGTCAAATTGTCCAATGCAGCAGATAAGTTTTTTTTATTATGTATCTTGTTGCTAGATTTCGTTATTATTTATATTGCTAGTTACTTACTTTTCTAATTTGCATTTCTAGAGTCAGATAAGCACTCAAAAAAGTCATAGTCGAAAAAGGAAATCTTTTACTAGTAAAGCAACTGAAGCTGCTGGTGCTGCACCAAGGGAAGCTGCTGAAGCTACTGGTGGTGCACCAAGTGAAGCTACTAAAGCTGTTGGTGGTGCACCAAGTGTTGCTACAGCTGCTGCACCAAGTGTTATTGGGCCAACTACGTCAAATGCAATCAAGAGGAAGAAAGTCACAATTGCTAAAAGAACCCAATTTGCTGTTGCAACTATGAAGAGCTTTAGTTCACAATATGTTGCTACCCTAATATTGCAATTGAAGCATGCAAGCCCCGTAGGGAAGGGGACAGTAACCTACAGATGCCAAACCCAATCTGTCTCGATACCTACAGCCCATCCAAGATAAATTTCTATTATAAATGTGAGTAACAATTTAGTCCCTATTCATGTCATGAGAAATGCTACTATTTATTGAGTTGTGAATGCTGTTGTTTTAGCTACCATTAAATTAATTAAGGATTAAACCTTTCAATAGGTTGGTAGGCCAAATCAATTGGTCATTGCAACTAGCCATGAGGATTCAATGTCATTTATATCTAGTAGGCAACTGTTTGTGAGAAAGATTGTGACTTGCATTATGTTCATATTGCTTTAGCATTATTTTTGGGATTTTAAACACTAATTTGGTTCATATTGCCATAGGAAATTGCAAAACGAAAGTAACCCAGCAATTCAAATTTAGTTGGTGATTTGCCCACTCAAAAAGCATTAAAAATAACTAGAATTTGTTATGGTCTTGGCATAATTTGTTGTGACGTTTATATGCTATCTTGGCACAATTAAATGGTGCATTGTGGTTTATTCTATGGTTTATACTGTCTTGGCACATTGTATATTGTGGTTTATATGCCATCTTAGCACAAAACGATAGTGTACTTGTTTTTGTCACTAGGTACTTAATTTTGTGTAAATGTTGCTACCATGTGTAAATGTTGCCCTATTCTGTCATGCTACCATGATTTTTTAATGGTGGCTTTCTTTTGTGATTGGGATATATTGTACAAGTGCCTTTTTTTTTCTTATTGGCCTATATTGTATAGGTACCTTTCTTTTGTAATTGGAACATGGGCTTTATTGGTCAAAGTACTCTTACCTTACAAGCCTCTTGCAAAGGTTTTGTAAATGATTTTGCATATATATATATAGATATATATATATATATATATATAAAAGGCTGCTGTTCTTCCATGAGAAAATAAATTAGTCAAGACAATGTTCTTACTTTATTTTCTTTTATATTATAATTATATTATCAAAATACTTTTGAAAGCATTTAACATAAAACTAATATGTAATTCCATTTAATCCAATATATGCATTATTGAAATGATATTAATAAGAAAAGACATTTAATAATCTAAAAAACGAGCTAAATATATTTATTTTTTTCTTAAAATTCAAAAAAATTATATTTTTGGGTTAAATTTAGTCTTAAATAAATAAATTTAATTCAATTTAGTCCCCTTACGCTAAATTATTATTCAATGCAATCTCTGTACCCTACTTGTCTCTTCAATTTCGTCCATCTGATTTAAATTTCAGAGAAAATTTTTTTCCTTGAATACTGGCATGTCACTGCATTTTGTGAGTCAATTTGGAGTGACTTTGTAGCACCATGTCACCATTAACGTGCTGATATGGCACTGTCATAAAAGTTACTACATCATCATATTTTGTCACGTCAGCATCACGTTAGTATTAAGGTCATCACTTTTAACGATAAAATTAGATACTATTAAAAAGAGAAATTAAATTAAAATAATACTCAAAATTAATATAATTTTAAATAAAAAACTAAATTAAAAATATATATATTAATATAGAAACTTTCTAAATATTTTGACAAGTAAGATACAGAGAGTCTTAAGAAAAAATTGAATCCTCCGATATTTCACATCCATTTAAGAGAAGCCGATTGCAAGCGTAGTTTGCCACGTGTCAAACATCAGCTCCATCAACGGGACAGTTCCCTAGAAGGCTCCACGTGATCCTCCCCGTCTACTCCCACACTCTCATCAACGGAGCGTGCAATCCACTCCTCCCCCTACTGAAGCCCTCAAGAACGTTTTGGGAGCAAACAAAGTCGACGATTCCCAACCCAGACAACATGCAGCCATCGTTCTTCAATTTATGCACTGTATATTTTTTATTTTACATTTCTAAACTTTTAATATTATAATTTATTTTTATTACTATTAAAAACGTTCGCAATTATCTTTTTTAATTTATAAAACAAATTTTAAAATTTGTTTTTTGGTTATGAACGCCTGGCAGAAAAGCTCAATTTCTCAATTATAATCGCCAAAACGACGACGCGTTTGCTATCGGTGAAGCTCGCGAGCCTTTCTATCTCTGCTCTCAGGTTCTTCAAGGCGGTGTTGTCGAAAGCCCTACGCACCTTGTTCTTCTTCTCGATGGACGACCGCTTCTCTTCCGAGGACGACGATCATCTCTTCGACCTCGATTACCACCCATACGCTCGTAAGCGGCCTCTCTCTTCCCGCCTCGATCGCGACGAATATGACGAAGCCGACGACGAGGAGACCAATCGCCAGAAGCTCTACCTAGTTCCGTACAGGTGTGCCTTTTCTAAATAAAAATTAATTTTTTTATCTCTTCGGTTTGGTTCCCGAGAAAACGAGAGAGGGAGTGAAATGTGAAGGGGATTTTGAGTTTGAAAAGTGAATTAACTGAATAAATAAATTTTAGTTTGTCTTTTCCCTTTTTTGTTTCTTTTTAATACCTTGAATTATTTGAATATTTTTTCTTTTCTTTTTCAGCTTCTTATTAGTTAAATTAAGTGCAAAAGAATTTTAACTGGTTAAAGTCAATTGCATGGTTCAGTTTTTCACTTACTTTTATCATAAAAGATTCACTGTAATTGCAAAAGCTTTTCCCAATTTTAAGCTATTTTTTCCCCTTGAATGTCAGGTGGTGGAAGGAGACTCAAAGAAGTGTTGCTGATCAAATAGGAGGCATTTTGTACACCGTGTCATCCAATGACGACTATGCTGATTCGCAAATTGTACTGGAATTGAGTAAGGAAGAGAGTTCCGGGGATAGGGTTAAGGCGGAAGGAGGGGTATCTGGCCGTGCATATGCCTTGGTTAATGAAGCATTGTGGTTGCGGACTCTTAAATGGTGAGGCGAGTTTGTTATACGATGCTATTTAGCGTTTGAATTATCTATTGTATTAAAGGCTTTACTGAATGTTCATGATAGAAAAGTTGCTAGACTGTAACCAAGAGATTTATGTTTTGGCTTGTTTGATATTTTATTTAGTCTTATACATCCGTAGTTGACCCTCCATTTAATGTGGTATCGATTTTGAAAGTCTTATCTAGTTGAAATAGTTTCGATTATTGTCATATGCTGTCGATATGGCTGCCTTGTTTCACCAACAAGCATTTTCTTGAACATTTGTATGATAGAGAATTGGCATCCGCTGACAATTTATGGAACTTAAGTACATTTTGGTCTCGAAGAATATGTTGTTTTGGCACTCATTTACATACTCATTTGTTCTCCTTCTGTAGGCACAATGACTCTAAAGCATCAGAGACAGATGCTAGGAACCATTTTGTTGCTGAAGATCAATCACAGGAAGTGTTTCCTTTGCAGATAAGGCTTTCTTTTTCACCAGAAACAAATTCATTGTTAGTAAAGATCAGCTTAAAGGTCATTTCTCTGTTCCAGTCCGTTATTATATCTATTATTTTAATGGAGTTTTTGCTACTGAACTGGGGATTTTGGCTAGTGAAACAGTGCTGTATGTAACCTTTTTTTCCTCCTTTTTGCTGTCATTATTGTCATCGATGTTGTTGTGGTGGGGGTGGGTGAAATGCTTTTGCCTTCTCTTCTGAAAGGAAGAGATAAATTCTGAGGATTTTAGTCTCATTATGTCATGTCTAGAACTTACTGTCTTTTGGTGCTAGATCAAACTTGTACTTTATGAGTAATTGGCTATCAGATCCCATACTGAACCTGGGCCAGTTTAAACTGGGATAGCTGTCTTGCCGTTAAGTTGACAAACCTAGATGGATATGACTTATTGCAAGGTGCTGAATCAGTACTTGTGAAGAATAGTTTGTGAAATCTCAAGGCCATAAATGATTCTTTACTACAAATATAGGTTAGGTTTTATCTTGCTGAATGAATATGCAATAGATATATGGATGTTGGTTATATCCATGAACTATTAATTGGATTCTTACGGTTGGTGACACTATTGTCTCAGTAAATGTTTTCACATTTTCTTATTACCCTAGCTGGAAAGAATTTGCTTCTAGGTCTTTTTGAAGTGATGGTAAAACCCTTTAAAATGGTGCTACATATATAGTAAGTGGCCTCTTTGTTGAAATTAACTGGCCCAACAATGAACATGATTAGATGATTGCAAAAAAGCATTGCATATTTTTTGAGGATGAGCCTGTTTTTTAACTTGCAATTGTCTTTTCATTTATCATTCATCTCATAATATTACTTCCATTTGTCATGTTCTTTTATTTGCATCTTGTGTCCTATTTGAATGATGATATGCTACATGTCAAAAACTATGTTGCATAAATATTATTAACTGAAAATAGAGATGATCCAGTTATTGATCTGTGGATCCATTTCCTGGCAGTGGAATGTGGTTTTGGTTGGTGAATACACATGCTATCTATAAAAAAATGCCAGGGATTGGAACTCCCTTTCTTTGTAGGTCTTGGTTCTCATGCCATTCTTGCTTTTTAAATATAGTTCTTTGCTTCCTGTATTTGAAAGTAGTTTGCATTTTCAGGACAATACTGTCGATCTTTATAGGAGAGCTTGCAGTATTTTCAGTTCCCAATCTGAGCTGGTAGGTTTTGCGCCGAGTAATTAATTTTTTTTTGAAAGATGGTTCCACTTTTTGTCAAAGTAATTTTCTTTCCATTAATTTGTTTTGCAGTTGCAGATATGGGACTTCTCAGGGCAGACAAGCCAGTTTGTTATGAATGAAATCATCAATTTGCCCAACATTTCTTCTGGAAAACCAGGGAAAGAGGTGTAACTAGTAGATCTACTTATTTTTACTGCTATGGTTTAGCATCCTTCCATGTAGTTGGTTGAATATAGAGTACATTTATCAATATATAAAGTATCTGATTCATTATCTGCTTGAAGACTTATACCAGTGGAAACCATTTATTTGGAGATTCTGTGTGTGTGTGTGTGTATATTTCCATGCCACTGGCAGCTCTACATAAGCTTCATTTTCTGTTTTTGTGCCCCTTTCATATGCAGACTCTTCTTGAATTGCATGTTCATGGGTTTTTTGTTACTACAACTGAGAGCAATAAGAGATTGGCTGAACTGTCTAGGACAGAAAATAGCCTTGGCAAGAGTCAAGTAAAGACAAATGGCAGCAGTGACAACCTAAGCTTGATGCTAACTGACAGATCACCATCTGGTAGTGGTTATAGAGGCATTGGTCTATTGAGCTTGACAGGACTACAAAATCTTGGAAATACTTGTTTCATGAACAGCGCAATTCAGTGTTTGGTGCATACTCCACAGCTTGTTGATTACTTCCTAGGAGATTATCAAAAAGATATAAATTATGAAAACCCTTTGGGAATGAATGTATGATATCGCATCTTTCTTTCAAGAAGTTTCATTCTTCATATTTGTTTACCTTTTTCTTATAATTGTCTGTTGCTTGCTTAGGGTGAACTTGCTTTAGCGTTTGGAGAACTGTTAAGAAAGCTATGGGCTCCAGGTGCAGTGCCAGTGGCTCCAAGAATGTTTAAGTGTAAACTTGCTAAGTTTGCTCCCCAATTTAGTGGCTACAATCAGCATGATTCGCAAGTTAGTAAAGTTGCTGCGCTTTAGGAAATGTGGTTTCAGTTTTCTCATTCTCTTTTCTGCCAATGATGAATTACTTACTAACTGTGGCATGAGAAAGAAATAATTTTGCTTAAAGTATGAAACTCCTTATAGTTCAATAACTAAAATATGCTTTGCTGGTAATTTTAAAACCAATGCTTTCCAATTCCCCTCTAGTATATATTCTTAAATAACAAGTAATAGTATATACTGAGGAGGCTAAGTGTTTCTTTTTTCTTTGAAAACGTGAAAGACAACGGTTTTGCCATAAATTAAAGGTGTATCCTATATTTCTTTAATTTCATGGTTTATTTTTCTCTGCCAATATTGAGTTATATTTTGTGGTTGCAATGCAGGAATTTCTTGCTTTTCTGCTGGATGGCCTTCATGAAGATTTGAATCGTGTAAAATGCAAGCCGTATATAGAAGCCAAGGATGCAGAGGGCTGTCCAGATGAAGAAGTGGCAGACGAATATTGGCGAAATCACTTGGCTCGCAATGATTCCATCATAGTAGATGTCTGCCAAGTGAGTCCATTGATATTTGAAGTTGTCTTGTAACTGATAATGTATTCGAGTTTATGCTATTTGTGCATGCATAATGTAAGATTTTCCAAGTATTCTTTAGTTTAAAAGTATCCTCTTAGCACCGGAAATAACTGTTTGAGTTTCAGCTATTAATTCTAATAAATTGTTAATGTTCGAAGTTGCAATGGATATCTCATCTGCTTTTATATGTTAGGTGGAGCTTTTCTTGACATTAACATTGATATGAACTTCCTTGCATAAGTGAACCAAATTACATTCAACTTTTCTTTCATTCTAGGGCCAGTATCGGTCAACATTGGTGTGTCCTGTTTGCAAGAAGGTGTCTGTGACATTTGATCCATTTATGTACCTAACACTGCCATTACCTTCAACAACTATGCGGACAATGACTTTGACAGTTTTCAGCACTGACGGCATTATGTTGCCAACTCCATTTACCATTGCTGTTCCCAAGTGTGGGAGGCTCAAGGATCTTATCGACACATTAAGTGTGGCATGTTCTTTAAGAAATGATGAAACCCTGCTTGCGGCTGAGGTATGCAGCTAGGCTCTTTTTTTTTTTTTCCTTTTGTATGAAAAAATATTGTTTCTGTTGCATGTCATGATTACTGATGTCAAATTTCGCAGATGTATGGGATTTTCTCTCAAGCATCTTGAGGGTCTTGAGGCACTTTTGCATGCCCTAATGTTGTATCTTTTGGAAGTCTAGAACTGTAATTTGAGGATGCTATTACATTGCAGTCAAAATCAAGGAATAAATCTTTTTCATGGATTAGTTAGATCAGTTTTCTAGTAGCAGTAGTAAGTTGATTATGGGTGGTTTCTCTAGGATTATCCAATGGTACTTGAATATTGGTTCTCCATCCGTTTTTAGAGACCTTTAGTGCTAACTTTATCATGATCTATTCAGTTTGGATCATGCAATATGAATATGTAGACCATTTACATTTCAGGACTAACTCTCTTATAAAAAATCATGTGTTCTTTTACATGGATTGGACTTCCATATTAGAGGGTTTTACCTTCTTGCTTTTTATTAAAGAAAAATTTTGAGCAATGTGGACAACATAGGGATGCATCTGTAGTCCCGCACTTGTATTTAATTATGAATAACCTAAGCTTTTGAACTTATACGCAGATATACAAGAATCAAATTGTTCGTTTGCTGGATGAACCATCGGATTCATTAGCCTTGATCAGAGATGATGACAAACTTGTTGCTTATCGGCTACCAAAAGTTAGCGAGACATACCCATTAGTGGTGTTCTCACATCAGCAGGTGGAAAGGTAAGTTCGGTTATCTATTGTCATGATTCTTATGGCATAGACTGTATTAAATGGTCAATTTGGACAAGCAAGCTGATCTTGGCCATACCCATTTAATTTTAGATTCAACTTATCTTCCAGCTTTATGGCCATTCATGAAAAAGATCACTGTTCATTTCTGCATCACTTTGTTTTGCAAATTGGTAAGTTCTGATCATTGTTTATTTACTTATTTTATTTAATTATGTCACCAGGCCTTATACTTTTGGTGTGGTGGCATCAAACTGGAAGCCATTTGGTGTTCCTCTTGTAGCAAGGATACAGGATCTTTCAAGTGGATCTGAGATCCATGACCAGTTTCTTAAGTTACTCAGTCCGTTTCTAATGCCAGTCGAAGATTTGGTAAATGGTTATGATGGTAATGAGACTGGGAATACTGTTAATGAGTATTCAAAGATGGAGGATATTGTTAGCCCCTTAGTTTCAGATAGTGATGTAGGTTCAGATGGTGGAGCAGAGAATGATTTTTGTCTGAATTCTGACTTCAAATTCTACTTGATCAATAAAATGGGACCAGTGGAGATAAAGATGAATAAGCCTGTATCAATCTCAAGGTTTACCAAGAAGTTTGATGTGAGTGTTCACTGGTCGGATAAGATGATGGAAAAGTATGACACATGCCTTCTCAGCTCATTACCTGAGGTTTTCAAGCCCCAGTTGTTTACACGAAGGCCTCAAGAATCCATTTCCTTGAATAAATGTCTTGAAGGTTTCTTGCAAGAGGAACCTTTAGGACCAGATGACATGTGGTTAGCGTGTTTCTTTTTCTAATATATGCTTTGTTCCAAATGTTGACCTAGTTACAGTTTTGGTCTTCCATCTATGATATAAGCATAATCAACTTTATTTATTTTATAATTATGAAGTAATCATATGCTTGCCGAATCTAATAGTGAGTGTTGTGATCATACCTAGGTATTGTCCAAGGTGCAAGAAGCCTCGGCAAGCCAACAAGAAGTTAGATCTTTGGAGGTTGCCTGAGATTTTGGTTATTCATTTAAAGAGGTTCTCATATAGCCGATTTTTCAAGAACAAGCTAGAAACTTTTGTTGACTTTCCAATTCATGATCTCAATCTCTCCCATTATATTTCCCATATTGATAGCCAATTGTCCAATTGTTACCAATTGTATGCAATAAGTAATCACTATGGAGGCATGGGAGGCGGTCATTATACTGCTTTTGTTGATGTAAGTATGGCATCGTTTCTATCTTATCTTCTCTGCTTGTGTGTTAGGAATTACTGCCATGTCGTCTTGATATTCTACTGAAATGGAATTTTACCTAGCTACCCATGAATGATATTTCAGATTTGCAATGTGCTATTTGTTCTATCTCTTGTGGGCTAGTCATTGGAGGCTATCCCAAAACTAATGCTTTTCAATTATAATGGGCTCAGGACTTTTCAAAAGCATGTAGTAGTAGTACCCATAAATGAAATAGGTATCATGTTTATTAATGGGCTTATTATTTGTTTATGTGAGTAGCCTGTTGAGTGTCATTTTAAACACGGATCATACGGTAAATGGGAGATTATTCTTTTTAATGGAGAATTAAGGTGTATGTTAGAGTTAATAGTAAATTCAGTCTTTAAAGAAAATATAGGCAACAAGGTTTTAGGGCTCTTAGTAACGCATTTCTAGAGTAGACTTTGCCTCAGAATTTTCTTGAAATTGTTTTATACTGCTATGTCATTTGTTCATGTTTTATTTATTGGTGAAGTGGTCAAATTTCTTTAATATCCACATTCTTTTGGAAATTTGGCACATTTTATATTCTCTTTCAACTTACACAAGCATATAACAGGTAATCTCTAGGCAAATTAGTTTCTTTCTACAATAATGATTGAAGTATTTTTTAGGCAGTAAAAGTAGAAATGAAAGGTCTAAAGTTTTGGGATCTTTCTTCAAACTTTGTGCATTGCTCCTTTTGTGCTCTTCTGCATGCTCCTGTGGAATCAGCAGTAGATATCACAGGAAATACGTAACTTTTGATTTACTATTAGAGTCCTAACTCTCTTTCTGCATTTGCAGCATGGGCATGGTAGGTGGTTCGAGTTTGATGATGAAAAAGTTTTCCCTGTCAGTGAAGACAGAATTAAGTCATCTGCTGCTTACGTCCTTTTCTATAGGAGAGTCCAGGAGGCGTAACTTTACATAATTAAACATTTATCAGAAGCATTGCCCATTTTTGAAGCCTGAACTGGGGATTTCATTTATGGGCCAACCAACCAAAGAAGCAAATACAGATTCCATTGAAAGGTTAGAGTTTTGAGGAGAAGACTTGTTTTTATTTACATTCTCAAATAGGAGAGAAAAGACATGATCCAAAGTCGTACAGTTTTGGAATGGTACCATTGAAAGAGGTAAGTCATTACAATGATCAAAAACTGTCTTACGTGTATATAAAGCTGAATCCAAAGAAAGATTTGCAGCAATGTCAATTTTGTTTCTGCAGAGGGTAGAGGCTTCTCTTGGCTAGCATTACATTGTTTTGATGCTTCTTCCTCAAATTTGTGATTCTGGTGATGCAGCTTTGTTAGTTGATACTCAAAACTTTCAAATATTCTTTCAGTTTGGGAACCACAAGATTTGTATAAATATATACTGCTTGCCACCACCTTGTGGCAAAGAAAATGATTAATACGTTAGTGGTAGAGTTCTTGAACTCCTTGCTGGTGTAGTTCAAAATATTCTACTGTTTTTATATACAATAATAATTCTTGTAGGAAATCTTTAATTTCTGCAGTTGTATGAGTAAAGGTACATGGGTGTGAACATTCTATTGGTTTGTAATTGATTAAAATCAAAATGAAATATAGAATTCAATTGATTTGGATGGGTTCATTCATCTGATTGGGATGGATTAATATTCAATCTTTTTAAGGGACATGCACGTATTTTGTAGGCAATTGAACCATTGAATGATTTAGTTAATTCTAGTGTACAGTGTCTGAATTACATTCCATTGAAGGTAGGGGAAAAAATAATCGAAATGATTTTATAGTTTGAAAATTTTAGGCATAATGTTTTAAGAACCTCTTGAACTTTTTAAGGAAATTCAAATAATTATTTTTATCACGTTTAATTAAGTTGTTTATATTTTTAATTTAGGTCAAATAAATATTTATAATTAATAATTAATTAATTATTATTAATTAAAACATCAATTGTTATTTTTATAATATATGATGTTGATATGAATGGCGAAAATGTCATATGATCATATTACTAAATTACATCATTATATTACATATTAAAATATCATATCAGTACAATATGACATTTTGAAAGGTAACAGTTATTATGACATATTAACTTATTATGTTACTATAATATGATTTTAACTAACAATAATTAATCAATCGTTAGTTACAAGATTTTATTTGATTTAAAATAAAAATATAAAGATTGAATTAAATATATTAAAAAATAAAACATTATTTAAATTTTTTTAAATAATTTAACAAACTTTCTGCTAAAATCAAACCGGATTCAAAAATATAATGCTTACTTTAAATTGGATTTAGTTCTCCTCCAATAAAAAAACAAACAATTCTCTTGTTCCCTTGACCTATTTTGTGTACTATTAATTTATTATTTTTAAATTTATATCAAAATAATAAAATATAAACAAATCGAAAGCCAACAAATATAGAAGAAAGCCCAAGGGGGCCTGCTGACTGGGCTGCCAGATCCAACAAAAATTCAATGGATAAAAATATTTTAAAATAATAATAATAAATCAATCAATGAGCTCATTTCTGGGGGTCATTCTTTGTTCGGTGCCTCAGCAATTCTGCTTTTGTAACTAAAAATTCACTCTTCAGTTTCCTCAACTAAAAATTCACTCTTCCTTCTGCAGACAAGACCCTTACCTTCTGGAAACAGTTACATTGTAATGGCTGCACCCAGTTGCGGTAAAATGAAAGTCTACTTCAACTTTTTGGGTTTTTCTTTTACTGATTTACTGCTGTTTTATTTGATGCAAATTACCCTTTTTGATGTTAAATAGAGTGTGTTTGCATGTAAAGTAGTATTGGGTCTTTAGAAATTTAGCTATTGTGAGTTGAATGTAAATGGGGTTTGGTTTTTTACTCTGTTTCTATTTGGGTTTTGAGGAAATTTTACTGAATTGATCCAAAGATTCGTGCTTTGTTAGTATACTTTGAGGGATGATTATACTCTTTTCTTTTTCATTGATTTTCATCGCAAACTATTTGGTTGTTAGGGTTGATTTAGGCATTAAAGATTCTTTATTTTGGGGGATTTAACACTGGAAAAAGAATCAACACTCCTAAGGAGTCGGCTACTAAAATTCTACCAATTCGTGTTGGTGGTGTATGCAATATGTATAGTCTTTTATGTTAGCTCAGATTGTGTTTAGCTTATCAGTCCGCTGCAAAATTCCCTTCCTTTGGAACGTTTTTATCAGGGGAAGGAAGGAGTGACTATAAGTTATTTGCTGCTCAACCGGAAATGAAGGCATAGCTTGAATCGGATTTATTTTCTTTTCTTTTCCGTCCTAATATATGAGCAGGATATGGTCAATTATTAGGATATGTTGGAAGTTGGGATTCTTGGTTGCATTCAAATGCATACAGTGATGCATGATCAAACTCCTTCCAGCATAGGAGTATATCTTTAATTTACAATGCTGCGATTCTCTTCCCTTGTGGCACATTAATTGTGAGATGCTAGAGATTTCTTGAAGCATTATAGTGATGTCCGGTGTTGTCTTGGGGGGTTGGGATGTGGGAAGTGGGAGAACTGAAATTGTTGCCTAATATGAACCAATGTGATATTTTCTACCGTGTTTTGGTGCTTGTTATCTTTCAATCCATGAAGCGTATAGCTAATAAAAATGTTATATAACAGGAGCAATGACAGAAGATGTTGGAATGCCAATGGGAGATAAACTCATATTGAGGGGCTTGAAATTTCATGGTTTCCATGGGGTCAAGCCTGAAGAAAAAAGCCTGGGTCAGAAGTTCTTGGTAGATGTAGATGCCTGGATGGATCTTAGGATGGCTGGTAAATCAGACCTCTTGTCAGATACTGTTAGTTACACTGATATTTACCGGTGAGTAATAGCTAAACATCTTCATCTAACATGTTTATAAAACATTTCATAAATCTTTTTGGCTGCTTATGAATTGTTACGAAGTTCTGTATCCCTGCATGTAATTGTCTTCAAGTTTACAGTATGGAGAAAGCATGTTCCTCCTAACTGTAATATCTTCAATTATCCTGAATTTGATAATTGTTAACTGGTCAACTTATACTTGCTATGTAAAAGACCAATGCTAATTAATTTAAACTTGCATAAGGATTTATATTATGAAGTCCTTAGTTGTTCCTATGAATGTCTATGCCTTTATTTTTAAGAAATTATCTTTTGATAATTTGAATTTGCTGGCTTACAGCATAGTGAAGGAAGTTGTTGAAGGGAAATCTCAGGATCTTGTTGAGTCAGTGGCTCAATTAATTGCATCAGCAACCTTGAGGAAGTATCCTCAGATATCTGCTGTTCGTGTGAAAGTCGGGAAGCCTCATGTTGCTATTCATGGTCCTCTTGACTACCTTGGAGTTGAGATTATCAGATACAGAAGTATTGATGCTCCAAATTGACCTTTACCAAATATATGCATGTATAAGGCATCATGGGTCTCGGTTGGATCTGCCACCTCCTTTTATGTTCTTTGGTTTCTGCAGGGAGGTGAAGAAAGTTACAAGTGAGCCAGGGCAGTTGTGTATTTCTGCTAGTTCTACTGCAATTGGCATTAATTGATCAATGATTTTCATTTTCTGTCAGCCTAAGAATTCGAAAAAACATTAGCCGTGTATCAAATATTATCACATCGGTAATATAATATAAATAAATTTAAAATTTGAGCATTTTAAAAAAATAAAGATTTCACAATTCAAATGATTTTCATTATATTTTCCAATGTCCCATTGGCCATATTGTGCCAAAGAAGCTGTTATTATAACAAGGCACCTTAGTTCAAAATTTTATTCTTCAGACATCCCCTCTTCTTGTTTTGATGAAAATCCAACGTTACTGTCCAAAAAGGATTAAAAAACCAACGAAAATTATGAAATTCTACAATTCTAAAACAATATCCAACCATTTAAAACTATATTTCAGCACCACCTCGGACTAATACAAAATTTCTCATGCCTCTAGAGCTTCACTTTTTCTACAAGGCTAAACTACAATCTTTTCAGCACCTCAAATGTTATTACTAAAATGCAGAACACAAGCAGGGGAGACATCTCATGCAGCGATGCCACTTGGCTCCTGGCTGCTGCCTTTGCCTTTGCGGTTCCAAATAGGAGTGGTTTCGATAAGCTTATGGGGTACAAGCCTCCTTTCCCGCTTAGTAAGCTTGCGAAACTTGCTCACTCTCAGCCTGGCTATCTCAGCCTCCTCTTCAGGGGTCATCTCCCTCACCACCACTGTTAGTCGGCACTCTGGTCTCTCTTTAATTCCACATTTCCCTTTAGCATGGTAGGAAATTCTCTTCTTATAAAATCCCTTTCCGACAAATGCCTCCGCTGTTTATAAAAATAAAAAATGCAAAATGAATACAAGCACAAATACTCCCAAGTGATATACACAAGTTCATTTGCACTACTTACCAACCAGCAGACGGTCTGGATCCAGTCCATGATTATGGGTAGCATTTGCTCGAGCAGAGTGAATAACCTGCATGGCATAGGTTTTAATCTAAAATGTTAGAACTCCATTTTCTGCTGACGATACAAAAGTATCTTCCTTCTGAACAACAATGAAGATGAAAAAATAAGTAAAGAGAGGGCAAAAGACACAAGTACACACCCATGCATCTGCTCGTTGTTGAGGTACAAGAAATCACTTCTCCATCAATGCTTTCTAAATAGTATAGTGGTTACAACTATATGTTTCTTTTCCTATTCCTTCTTCTAAGTTTCCTTTTATGACACATAGAGATGAGTTTTGGCTAGTTTCCTTTACGCCAGAAACTACACAACTACATTAAAAAGAACTACAGTTCATTAATAGGCCAGGATGGTTCAATCACCTGATAGACAGTTTTAGCAGCACGCTTTACCGTCACTTGCAACTGCAATAATGCATCCTCAACACGCATACCACGAACTAATGCAGCAACCAAGTTGACCTTCTTAGGACTCTAAAACAAGCGAGTCAGCAATAAGTTAATTGAATTAGATAAGCAACACCAGAAACAATGGTAATGCAGCATCATAATGGCAGTTAAGGGTTTTACAGATGTTTTTTCTTTTTCCTTTTTGTTAATCCTGCTCTAATTCAAACCATTATTTTTCTCTTTTGAGAAGTTGAAAGTAGGATCAATTGATTTAATACTGAAATTTTCACCAGCTTTATTATTGGGAACTACCTTAAATGCAGCAAAAGCATGGCCAGTTAACTCATGTAGATATTGAGGCAAATGCAGCTGATATTGGAACTATATAAACAGTTTAAAATTAGAATTTTGTTATAATTGTTTAGGAGGTATACCTGTTTTATGTTCTTTAACACTGCTTGAACTTTTGAGCGATTAGGAACAACTTTCTTCTCTTCAGTCTTTCCACTATTTATTGCCAAAACAGGAGTTAATGGTGATGAAATGGGTGTCTCTTCAGATGAACCTGCTAGTAACTTCCTTGAAGTTGAAATTCCCTATGCACATAAAACATAAGAGAAGTTATGGAAGGAAAAAAAACAGAAAATAAAAAGAATTTAAGGAAAAACATAACAAACTCCTTTGGCTCAGATCAGCTAATGATCTACACTCAAAAGTATTGCCCAAATAACTTTAATATGATTCCACCAGTTGCAACACAAACATTGTAGATACTACAATAATGGACTTCTCGTCACATTGTTGAAAACTTGTTTTTCATCAGTTAGGAGCGACCTATTGATCTTCAACATAAGCGAGACCACTTAAAACCATGGGAATTGTCCAATGAAGGAAATTTTACACCGACAAACAGATAAGGAAATCTGATCATTTCTAGATCAGGTGCCATTGGCAATCGATATCACGCTGAATAAGTGTGAATCAAGATCAATGATATACAACATTTCCAACACAAGAACACAAGCACCGAAAGAATCACTAACTACATCATCAAAAAGCAGGAAAGCATATGAAATTATTATTGCTTTCCAAGATATTATATTATATCCTTGTTCTCCTACCTGTGTATATTTTTTTTCATTACTATACAAAACAAGGCATCCCAAAAATATGCATTGACATTCATGAAATGTCACAAAATCTACTTCAGATTTCATAACACACTACATTAGGAACACGTCTAGTTTTTTTGTGACTCGAACATCACAAGATTCACAGCTTCTTTTTGAATTATAAGAATGATTTTATTAAAATAGACCTCAAACAGCCAAAAACATCAAATTCACTGAAACCATCATATCAAATCGGAAAGAACAAGTTGGCATTACCAACTGTTGGAAATACTGATATAAAGGTGTTGAAATGCTAGCAGAAGGTGATCTCCACAATCTCTGAATACTAGGCAATTCACCTGCATAAGTATTTCAAATCCTTTAATACTCAAATTCAACTCCCTACTCACAAACAGGATGAAAAAAACATAAATTTAAGAATTAACAGTAAAGTCACTTGAAATTTAGCGTTATTATACAAAGAATAAATATAAACCCATGTTTTCTTTCTGATTCATTGCTCCAAATTTAACTTAAACTTCACATAAAATTTAGACAAATATTAATCAAGTAGAAGATAAGATCTTTAGGCATAGAAAGAAGATAAATAAATGCAGTATTAACAGTTAAGTCACTTAAAATTCAATCTTTTTTACATAAAACGAAAAGTACCCCTGTTTTATTTCTCAATAACTATTCCAAATTTAACTTCACCTTCACCCCAAAAAAAAAAACTAACCAGTTAAAAAAGAGGAGCTCAAGCGACAAGAAGATGAATAGTTGGCAGACAAAGTATAGTTATGTTCCAGTCTTCTCCCAGCTTGGCGAAGTACACATTGCAAATGTCTCTGCCACCCCACCATCTTTTGGAAAAGATTTTCTCCTTAAGGACTTTTCTCAAACAGGTAAGAGGAGAAAGAAACAACCCAAAGTTACAATGGCAGGAGCCCAGAAGCCAAAAGACACAATAGAAATAATAATAATAATGGGAATAAATAGGAACCCAACTAAATTTATGAAGGTCAAATTAAACAGAAAAAAGAAATTGAAAAACTTGAAAATCCCAGGAAGAAAAAATGGAGTAAAAGTTGAAACTTGGAGAGTTTGTTAACTTACTGGTTGATTATCATAAGAAGCTGAGAAGTGAGAGATCGCTAGTGGTGAAAGTGGGGAGTCGGCTTCCAAAGGAAAATGGCCTGAACTCGACCAGGAATGAAAGCCTAAAAGGGCCCCCTTCTCGGGTTCCGATAGTAATTAAAACAAAAGAAAATTGAAAAGGCCTTTTATTCTCAACAGTGTCCTTAAAACCACGGGGACTTAGAAATAAAAAGGCGATAAATAAGAAAATTAATTATGGTGATTTTGTTGAGGAGGGGCTGAATTGTGAGTGTAAAATAATCTTTTTTATTTTGACTTTTAAATAAAAGAAAATAAATTTTTATATGAAAAAGAAAATAAAATTTTAACATAATAAAATGAAACCAATTAAAGTTGTGATGAATATTTTTTAATTGAATGTTCTGTATTACCCAATCTCATTAAATAAGATTAAGATATTTTATAATTGAATTTGAATAGAGTTTGAGCGATATAACTATTACTTATTATGAGTTTAAATAATGATTTTAAAGTACCCACTATCCAAATTCTATTGTAAATAATTTTTTTTAATATTAATTTTTAGTTTTATCTAATTTTGTTATAACTTTTTTCCAATTAATGTAACACTTATTAAAATTTATTAATTGGTCTAAGCATGGTTTTAAATTTTAATTTATATTTTTATAAACTAATTTTAATTTATTGATCAATTTTCATTATTTAAATTTATTTTAATTGAGTATTTAATAGATATAAATATTTAAAACATAATGTCTAAAATATTCAAATACAAATTCGAAAAGCAATTCAAAAGTTGTTTACTCTATCAAATAATAAGATTCAGATTATGATATCTGAAAAATAATAATTAGCTTACCATTGAAGAGTGACTTGATGCCCAAATCTTGCCAAGAATTAAAAAGTGAACAATAAAAGACATTTTCAAAAAACTTAAAAGACCTTTTTAAGTAGTACATTTATCTGTTGGTTCCAAAATGAATTGGAATCTCCTTTCTACAAATTTAAAGAGAAAAGGAAAGAAGAAGAAGAAGAAGGAATCAAAACCTTAGAATTTCAAGAAATGGTTATATTAGTATCAAGCCCAAAACAATATCTTAAGATTAATATAAGTGGGCTCAATGTATTCAAACTATTAGTAGCTTCCATCTAGATGATTAAACCATCAAACAGAGCTTAAAATGCAGGATCCTTATCTGACACCTGCTGGTTGCTTAAACTAGTATGATTCCCACAAGTTCAGCCACCCTATTAGGGGGTTGATAAACTTATATGCTCAACTCTTTGCTGAGTAAAAGAATACATAAATCCTACACCTTCATCAACAAATGTTACCATTTCGTTACTGTGGACGAAGCTTTCTCATCAACCACTTCTTTCTTAGGGAGGCGTCTAACGCTAGGAACATCCTTGCCCTTCTATCATCCTCCAAAAAGTCACATGCGTCTAGTAACAAATCATCATCAATGCCTGGTATGGCCTGGAGTTCCTCAATTACTCTATTTGTTGGCGCATTTTCATTCCCTTTCTTCCTTTTGATCGAGGTAACCACAAACGCCATCTCTCGTAGCGCATTAGCCATACCATCTTCTTCACTTCTGGCCCTTTTAGGTTGATGTGAAGTTCTTGGCATCTGAGATTGGTGCTTCTTTTGTTGTTCCTGTAATTTACTACCAACAATTGGAGCTGAGACTTTATCATGCACCTTTTTAGCCACCTTGATGTTAATAGTTGGCTTTGATCTTCCACCGATATCCTTAGCAGGGGTCCCATTCTTGCTACTCATATTGCATTGCAGAATTCTTTTTTCTGCAGGAGTAGATTCATTGCGGCATATGATGCACATAATATCATAACATGGCATTGATTTGTTTTTGAATCTTCTAAATTCAGGATGTTCCTGCATTTATAACTAGTAAGCTCCTTCTTGTCCAATATATTTAACCAAAAGGATATGTGGTGTCAATGCAATGCATTTTGTACCTTAACATATTTATTCCAGACACAATCATCAGCTATCACCATTTTTTGGGTTCCATGCCAGTGAAACCCTTTTTCAGTAAGCAGAGTCTTTATACTAGCATACTGGCTCCTCAAGATCTTATAGCGATTTTTCAAGACAGCTCTACCATGCTGCAATCCAAATTTTGCATTAAACAATGTGATCATGCTCACCCATGCCTTTTTCTTCAAGGTACAGCCAACTTTATTCCCTTTATGCACCTGATCCAGCATGAGCTCAAGGAAGTATCGGTCCATTGTTGGTGTCCAGTCAATTTTTGAGCGATCACAACTGCTGGGAGTTTTATCATCTGCTCCTTTCTCTAATATGGTTGAAAAATAATATTCAAAATCAATATCTATTCTAGTTATTAGTTAAGTAGAAACCATACAGCAATAGTCCGCTATCATATCACAATACCCACCTTCATTCTCAAAGTCTACATCAAAACATGAAAGACTGTATCTTCCATCAGCAACTATATGCCCACATATCATGCACAACTCTCTGTAATATGGCACAACTTTTGTTCTGTATGATTGCATATCTGGGTGGGCCTGTAAGTTTTAATGCAGAAAGCCAACAGCAATTTTAGTTCCATATGTTGTTTTGAAAGATTCAAGTAAAAGTTTGTACCTTGAGATACTCATCCCACTTATTGTTATCAGCTTTTACCATCTGCACTTCTTCATCCCACTTAAATCCACTTTGATCAAGAAGAATCTTCATCTCATTATATTGCTTCCTCATTCGTTTGAATCGGTTTTTCAGAACATCAATATCATATTTAAAACCAAACTTGGAATTAAATAGAGTTATCATATCCACCCACGCCTGTTGTTTAAATGCATGACCAGTTTTGTTCCTCCTTTGCACTTGCTCCACCAAAAGCTCAACAAAATACTGATCTTGTGGTGGCGTCCAATTGGCCCTCACGTTGTCAGTGTCACTCAAAGAATCATGATCCATTGCCTTGCCTCCAAGTTGAAAGAGTTAACAATCATAAGAAACTGAATGCAAGTAGCAACGAAACATGCTTGAGATATTTAATACACGACACATTAGTCGAACAGGTGCAATAAAAAAGAGAATCATCAATGAGATAGAGAAGTCCAATGTCTAAATCACTCTAAGACTTCTTTCCCCTCCCAAATCCCTTCTTCCCCTTCTTTAGAATTCTAAAATATACCATTCAGGGGAATAAAGAAGCCACATATTTGCTAACACAATTTAGTATTCTGTTACAGCTTGGTAGCAAGAAAACAAAGATTTTAGATTTCGTTGATTTCTTATCGTTTCATGACAAAAAGTGAACACTTTTCTAACACTACCAAATCCACAAAAGCACACACCATTTTGCATAACCTTCATTATCCTCTTTACGCATTGAACTATTACCGCTAGCATTACTATGCAAACTATAATATTTCTCCTTCTTCACCATTGTCATCATCACTATACCACCATATTTCAGCAACCTAAGCCCCAGAGAAGGCCGCCTTAGGAAATATCTTATTATTTTATTTTATTTCATTATTTAAACTAATGACATTACTATGAGATTACAACTGTAGCTTCCCATCGAAAAGCAACGAATGGCACTGAACCAATTCCTTGGTTGATCACCAAAGTTTCTTTTTGAAAAGCCAAGTAAATGATGATTAGCAAACAAATAAAATAAACAATTTTATTGTCAGTTAGAAAATTATCATAAAAAAATCAATTAGAAATCCAACCACCTAACAACCCAGATAAAATTAAATTTTTTTTAAAAAAAAATCATTTTCCGAGAAACTGACACATTTCAGGATTCCTATACTTTCTCAACACCTAAACACAGGACAACATAAACGTTTAACAACGCAGCTCGCTCAATGTTCTTCTAATGCTCTATTGGATTGACGAGCAAATGCAGGAAAATCAAAGACAATGTTTCAACGTAATCTTGATTTTTCTTTCCAAGATTTTTAATGAACCGAAAAGGAAGAGAGAATAAGCAGATCGATAACCAAACAAAGACGATAATAAATACTAAAATGTATCAGTAAGAAAAAGACAAGAATTAAAATGTAAAAATTGAAAAAGAAAAGCACGCAGCGTTGAAGGATGGCAGGTTACCTCTTTGGCTTTGGCTGGTTATGGCTGCTGCGAGGAATAGGGTTATCCATGGATAAGAGAGGAAAAAGCCGTGTTTGGCTTGGCTTTTCATTTTTTTCTTATCCCCTTGGAGATTTTTTCAATTAACTTAGAATTATTAAATTAAAAAAAATTATTTTGAGGCAAAATATCCTCCTATTAATTTTTTTTTTTTTGAAAATAGAGATTTTGTTATAATCTGACCTAATGATGATTTGGAGGGGAAGGAGGAATGCCAAAAGAGCATACAACTCCATATGTACGGCTAACACTAATAGGTTAATAAATTTAAATTAGGTAACAATGGAAAAAAAAACAAATAATTATAATAATTTACTACTTGATAATCTCAATAATTTGTATATATGTAAAATTATTGTAGAATTGTAAGGCTTTAATACTAAACAAGTAAGTTTTCTTTATATTTGCGAGTGAAATAATTTAATTTCCTCCCATTTGAATAATGCCATTGAACATTTTAAGTTTTCAAATATAATTTTTTTTATATAAATTCAAGTAAATTTTTATTATTTTATTATGTACAATCGAGTCTCTTATATTTTAATTTTAGATCAAGTAGATATTTATTATTAATGGTTACCTAATTACTTTTTAATCAATATTATTCGTCATTTTTAAATATTAACATAATCTTGATGTGACATTGATACGAAGGTGAATTATATTTAATTATTATAAAAAATGGTACATTTATGAAATTGTGACCTTTTCAAAATTTATAAAAAATTTTATTTATTTTTATACACTCAAAATAATTTTTTATTTAATAATTTATATAAATAAAAAATAATAAAATAACTCCACAAACTCTTCTCAACTTTACCTTAAATCATAATTAAGTTCCTTCACACCTCTTTTTCTCTCTTTCTTTTTCTCTTTATCTTCTCTTTTATCTTTTATTTGTACTTTACTAATTTTTATTTAACTTATAATTTAAAAACATTTCATTCTATAAAAAATATTTATGAGCTTGGATGATGACCACTCACCACTATTATGTGAAACTAAAAAGAGATAAAGGTTTTTTTTATCTTTTTTAATTTATATTATTTAACTATTTATATATTTAACTATTGTGTGAAATCTTATATATTATATTTATATATTTATGCATTATAGTTTTATATTTAATTTTTTAAATTTAAATATAAATAAAATAAAAATATTAATTGTTGGCTGCATTAATTTCTCTAAGAATTGATTAAAGTATGAGTCAGTTGAAAACAATTGATAAATTTTTTTAAAAAAAATATGCAAATCGTCCAAATTATTCTCCTATACTTAAAACACCAAGCCTAATAAAAATTGTATAAAGAAGACTTTGAAACTAATTGGATGATGAGTTTTTTTACAGATAATTTAGTTATTTATATTGAATAAAATATTATTAGGCTTTTCAGTACAGAATCAATAATTAATGAATTTGAATCTATGAAATATCGTCAAACATAACTTTCATAAAAGACTATTATAAATCTTTATTTACTTATTCCTTTTTATTTATATGTTATATAAAATTATCTATTATATAAAATTCAACATATTAGCTTTAAAAATTTTTAATCTTTATTCCTTTTCGTCTTTGGCTCCTTCAAAAAAAATTAGCTAGCTTTGTCTCTGAAGATGAAAATATCACATAATTATGTATTTATGTCATGTTATCATCATTACAACATGTCAAGGTTGTGTGAAGTAAAATGACAAATAATTGACTAATAACAATTAGTTAATAATTAATTATAAAAATTTATCTTATTTAAAATAAAAATATTAAGATTTAACTGAATGTAATAAGAAATTAAAAAAATTAAATATTTTATATATTTTTTTCTTTTGTGTTGTTTGATTGTTGGAAAATTTAAAAGGGAAAGGCCAAGCGATGGCTTGAAAAATGGAACCCAAATTGTAAAGAAAGAAGAAGGATGCACAGTGTTTCATAAATGAAAATACCAACCAAAGCTTTGTTTTCAAACTTTAATACAGCAGCCAACTAACCGAACCTAGTTAAGAGCTATCTCTTTCAAACTCAATTTTTGAAAAATATGTAAATTAGAATTAATAGACTATTAATTTCGAATTCAAGATGCTATTGTTAGGGATAAACGGAGCTGCATGTTGAGCCAACGCTCCCTTCTTCCCCTCCTAACCTAACGTCCACCAAGGGAAAATGGATGGACCCACCTCCCCATTTTGTCTCCAATTGACCCTTTAAGAATTCATTCATTAATAAAATCATCTCCATTGTTTTTCAATTAGTAGTAAAAAATCATGGTTGTCGTTTTTAATGTGCAAAGGGTAGGCGTGGTAATTGCGCAAGTATAAATTGTTGATTTTTAAAATAAAATCATTTTAAATTTAACTACAATCACAAAAATTGCCAAATATTAATAAAATTATAATCTTCTTTTAATCAACATGATAAATTAGTTAAATCTGTTTGCCTTTCTTTTTAATTCTTAAAAGTTGTACTAAATATAACTAAATATTATTGTGCAATGATATTTAAATGCAAAGTCAGAAGTATTTAATGCATTTGATATTTAAAGTCAAACCCACTAAACATTTAAGTGACATTTGGAATGAAGGAAGTATAAGTGCATTTTTTGTAATATGTCAATTAAATTATATTGTAACATTTATTTTGTAATAAATTACTATAATATAAGATTATAATGTAATCACATTATAATCAAATGGATGCAATGTGATTATAATCTAAAACCAATACAATCAAATTATATTGTACTTTATTAAAGCATAATCACATTATGCCTTTTTTATTCTTATCTATTAAGATTTGATGAAAATACAACTATCCTCTTAAAAATGTGATGGGGTTAATTGTCAAGTTAATTTCGAATGAAAAGATAAGTTTATCCTTTTGATATTTATTTCTTCATATCCTTTTTCCCTTTGTTTTTTATCTCTCTTTTTTTGTCTTAAAGAATTTTTGCTTTTTAGTTACAAAATTATGAAATTTAATTAGTTATAAATTAGCTTGATATATTTAAGTAGTTTGAAAAACATCGTTAATTTCTATCAAATGAAATTTTAATTAAGCTAAATTATAATTAAAATTTTTATTAAATATAATAAATTATATATAATTTAACTGAAAAAGTAATTGTCATCCATGAAGTTTTATTGAAAATAAACTTCTATTTTTCAATTTGATAGGCACTCTATCTCTCCTGAAAAAGTAACTGATGTTAGGAGTCAAATACGAATATATTTGTTTAAAGTTTACTTTAAATACTAAGAATACCATTATTTTGTTTATTTTTCCTTTTCCCCTCATTTTTTTTTCATTTCTATTTTTTATTTTAATCAATTTCTTTAAACTAAACTTTTTTCCGAATTAATAGTAATTAGATTATTTTAACTAAAGATAATTTACTACATTTTTTCCAAAGTTAATATATATCTGAATTAAAAACAGTTTAAAATATTTAATATGTAATTGAAGTAGAATATAACTTAATTAAATTGTATTTGATAGAATTAAAGATGATTTTAAACTTAATTAAATCTCACAATTAATTCAATTTCACAATTTTATAGTTAGAAATGTCTTGGATTAAAAAGAGGAAA